CACACACACACACACACACACACACGCACACGCACAAAACTAGCAGGCAAAGCAGATAACAACAAGACCTGGCAATGGCTAAGAGCAGGAAAGTTGAAGAAAGAGACAGAGTGGCTAATTCTGCCTGCACAAGACCTAGCCTTAAGAACAAATGCATATCAAACCAGAATTGAGTAGACAGCAACAGACAGCAAATGCCACCTCTGCAAAGAAGTTGAAGAAACAACGGACCACCTAGTTAGCTGTTCCAAGAAGATTGCACAGACTGACTACAAACAATGGCATGACAAAAAGAGCAACAATGGTGCATTGGAATATCTGCAAGAAATACCATTTGCCTCCAAGCAAGAAGTGGTGGGACCACAAAACAAAGTAATAGAAAATGAAGAAGCTAAAGTGCTCTGGGACTTTAGAATTCAAACAGACAAGCACCCGCCACACAACACCCCAGACTTAGCAATTGTTGATAAGAAAGACAAAAAAGTCTCGATAGACAACAGCAGAAGAGAAGAGAAGGAACTGGAGAAAATCACAAAATATAAAGAGCTGCAAATAGAAGTAGAATGACTGTGGCAAAAGAAAGCAAAGATACTACCAATAGTTATAGGTGCCTTAGGTGCAATCCCAAAACGTCTGGAGCACCACTTGAAGACCATCAGCATTGACAAAATCAACATCGGTTAATTTCAAAAGGCATCTTTACCTGGAACAGCTTATATCCTACAATAATACCTTTAACATCAGCAAACAACAACATCTACCTATCCCAGATCCTTGGGAAGGACTCAATAGATGGATAAAAATGCCAAATCCAGTCTAAACATCTGGCTGACTGTGCAACCAACCATAATAATAATAAATTAAACTTGTATGCCACCAGCTCGACTAATGTTCTGGTTCAGTATAATAAGACTACCTCTTATGAACTCAAACAAGGGGCTGTTATTTTCAGTGGCACGATGGTGTTTAGCGTAACATTTTATGCTAATTGGCTGAGAATCATTTATATTTATTAATTATGTAGGCTTTTAGTCATCCTGCCTCTAAGTGGCTCACAAACAAAAAGAAAATATAATAATATGGTGCCAAATAAGAAAATATAACCTTAAAACAAATCCAGTAATCAGAACACATAAACATATTAGCACTGATCATTCATAATTCTACCACTGTCAATCATTCCAGGTACAACAAACTCATGAATGCCTTGGTCCCTGAATTATGTGTTTTATATATTAATGGAATTAGTTATGTATCTGGACTAGTAGAGAGCGACATCTAGTGGTACAAATTTAATCTGAAGATTAACTTCATATTTCTACTTGCTTCTCTAGCGAAGGGGTCTTCTTGTTGCCTGTTTATGTCATGACCTGGATCACAGGGGTTACAGCAATAGCTATCTTCAGAAATTTGATCATCCACTGGCAGCTCTTTATTCCACCTCAACCATGGAACAGCACCATTTTTCACAGACAGTATCTATACTGCAGGTATTGTATTCCAGATTTTTTTTAAAAAAGAGTTTAAATTCAGAAAGCTAGAAATAATAGCAAAGTTAGCTGCAGGGGGTTTGTTTAAATTCTCTGTGTGGACATTTCCCTTTTTAATATGGCAAATCTCTTATGCCTTTAAAGTATTCTGTTTATTTCACAGTTCAGTGCAGGGTATGTCTTTCTGAAAATAAATAGAAGTGCAAAAGTCAAAGTGTGAAACCCAAAGAAAAATGTTTGATTAAGGGACAGGATCACATTGAAATGTGATTTATTAAATTTGCAAAGCAATCTTAGGAAGACTTCAAGTAGAAAAGGAAGTTCACCTTCATTTTCCTATCAATTTTGTGTCAGGCAGAATAACTTAAAAAAAAAAATTAAACTATTTTCTTTCCCCACCCTCCCATTTGTCCAAATTCATAATAAGTTTTTAATCTTATAGATTATTTTCTCCCAGTACCTATTTAGAATGCTGACTTCATGCTCATATGACCCAAGAACACAATAATTTTCATGAAAAGGGAAGTGTGCAGTATCCTGAGAATCATAGGTTTCTTCTTTGCTACTTAGAGGTATCCAAATACGAATTAAATTCTGCTGAGCAGCCAAGGGGCCTGGAAAAAAAGAAAACTTTTGAGGCATAATTGGAAGCATTTGGTATATTATGTATGGAGAAGAGACAACTATGGGAAGACAAGATAACTATCTTCAAGTATCTGAAGGGCTGTCATATTGAACAGGAGGCAGAATTATTCAGTTTTTTTTTCCCGGAAGACAGGTCAAAAAATTCTTGGAAAAGTGTAATGGTAGACAGTATTAGATCGAGAGAGTTGAAACTATCCTGGATAGGAAGAAGCAGCACAGTAAAAATGAACATTTTACCAAGGCTTAGTTTTTTTTTGTTTCAAATGATTCCAATAAGAATTGAAGACAAAATTAAATGATTGGCAGCAACAATCAACTAATTATATATGGTCTAATAAAGGATCTAGGGTAAAGTTAAAATCTCACTAGAATTTAAAGATCAAGATTGACTGGCCATAGCAAATTTATTATCATGCTAGTTGAATAATAGATTAGATGAAGCAACTTCTGGTTAGATTGATTCTGTGGAAAGTTCCAGAGTGGCTCTACCTGGAGAACATCAGCTGAGTCAGCTACACAAGACTCCAGCTGGGACCAGCTAGAGGATTCAGCTGGAGTGCAGCCAACTACCCCTATCAGGGTCAGGGAAGAATCTCAGTCAAAGCCTGCTGATCACCAGTTCAGCCCAGCAGTCATCAGGTTGGGAACATCTAGAAACCGATGGCAAAGAAGAGGGTGACAAAGGAGAGAGTCCCCCAGTAGAAACCTCAGGGGACAGGAATGTCCCTAGCATTAGTAATCCAGTGGTGACATTTGCCCAAAGGGGAAGTGCTCATGGCATTGAGAAGACCAGCTCCTATCTAAATCAGGTGCACAGGTCCAACCCAATGGTGGCAAATAATCACCTGCAAAAGAAGGAACACAGGTACAGGGAGGAACGAGAACCTCCCTGGTTACCAGATTGAAGGGAAAGAGAAGCCCAAAGTGGCAGGCTAGCTTATTTCAACACCAAATACCTGATAGTGGCCCAAGGTTGATACAAGGGAAAGGGAGTTATGGATAAGAAGGAGGGATCAGCTAGGTTCTTACAGTGAGTAAAAACTGAAAGGAAAATTTAGGTTTCTCACCCTCACTAAGAAACTCAGTGACTGGAAAAGCAGCTGAGGCCATATCTCTTATCTATAGACTTGGCAGGCGTTGAAGGTGTTGATTTGGAATATTCCCCAGAAAGTGATGTCAGAGTGAAAGATAAAAGGCCTTAAAAATGAATTAAGAGAGCAAAAACAGTTCAGTGGAAAGTATTATTGACGTACCTTCTACCTTCTTTTTATTGTGACAATAAAAAGAAAGAAAAAAACTAGGAACTGGTTTGGGTGTTGCTTTGGGTTTTTGGCACCCACTCAAAACTTACAACAGACCCATCACATGTTTTCAAAATTCCAAATCTGCTCATCACTTCAAAATGGTTGCCTACCCATGCCTTAGATCCTTAAAGTTTCAGCAGTACTGTTGTTTTTTTTTTAAACACACATGGGTAAATCCAATGCCTTGTTTTAAGAGCTACTACATAGATCCAATATAGTCTTGGTAGTCTTAAAACAAGGGTTCACAATAATATGTTTATATCTTTTAATTTTGTTTTTTTCTAGCTGGAAGGCCACAATATTTTCTCTAATTTGAACTCCAGTGAGTATGAACAGGTCTTGGAAATTATCCGCAAAGCCATTATTGCTACAGACCTTGCTCTGTACTTTGGAAACCGAAAACAGCTGGAAGAGCTGCAACAGACAAGATCACTGAATCTTAAAAACCAAGCACATAGGTAAAATACAAGTGAATATTTATAGTTTGAAATCTCAATCATGTTTTCTTGTTTTGAAAGCTAAACATTTAGCTTCCTGTATTTGGCTATATAATTAGTCTAGTATATAAAACATTATGAGGAATATGCACCGAACCCTCATAAATCAAGAGGTATTTTATTGTTGGCATATGTTCAACAGTGCACTCAGGAACTTTCTGATAAATTTGAGCTTGGAATGGATACACCTGTTCACAGTCCTAGTGACAAACAGAATCTAAACTTCTTTCTGACTTATCATGTTCAGACAAATAATCAGAACTTCATTGCTACCTTAATCTATAGACACAGGTGATGATAGGTGATAAAAGAGTTGACTAGGTAATTCAAATGCCGAGGTTTTAAATAGAAGATTGATCATAGCTGTGATCATTGTTGGTATTTGCATAAATGTAGCAAAATTTCTTGTGTTCTTTCTGCTGCCTCTTATGGAGCTGGAAATAGTCCATTCAACTGAACAGTGGGATAATGCCAAAATTGGCAGCCAGCTAGCTTCTTAGCCTACCTCTTGTTTTTCTTTCCGCATGTTTGTATTTTTGGTGAGATTAAATAGTAACAACATCAACAACAGAAAAGCCCAACAAATCACTATGTGGGTGTAGTAATACATGTGGCAAAACTTTGCAACAACTTCACATTGAACCCATCAAGAAGGAGGCCAAAGGATTTGGCCCACAAGAACAAGCACTAGCAGCACATGCCATAAAAAGTGAAATTAAAAAACAACAACTGGAAATGAGCAAGTGTATGTTATGCAAAGAGAAAGATGAAATTGTTGACCAGCTAATAAGCAGTTGTAACAAAATTGCCTAGACAAGATGTGATTGTGCAGCAAAAATGATACACTGAAACTTATGTAAAAAGAATGGATTTGATGCCCCAAAGTATTGGGACAACCTTAATATTGATTATGGGCCCCAGAATGATCATATAAAATTTTTATGATCATTCTGATTCAGACAGACAAACATCTAGAATACAACTAACCAGACATCACTGGAGTTGAGGAAAAGCAAATTTTACTTATGGACATGGCATACCAATTACAGTAGATTAGCTCAAAAGGAACTGGAAAAGATTGTAAAATATTGGGATCTAAAATCAAAATACAGAGATCATTGAGTAAGGCAACAAAAGTTTTTTCTATAGTTATTGGAGCATTAGCAGCTATAGCAATAGTCAAAACAGCTGCAAAACAATTAGAATTATTCAGTATCACGACATTCATCTTATAACAAACAGCTGTGCTTGAAACAACATATATATATATTGCTGTGACAGTTGGACAATTCTTAGTATTTGGATAACATCTGAATTGATGTAACAACCAGCATTTGCTGAGCATTCTTCAGAAGAGAATACCTAATAATGATGGAAAAACCCAACCAATCAGTAGGTGAAGAGAGTGGCAAATGGCGGCAAGGTGCCATGTGGGTTCAGAAGGTGGAGCAAGATTGAAGCTCCCACCAATAAGAAATTGCTTGTCTTTCAGCTTCTGTTGAAAACACTACTTTTCCAGTGTTTCTTCTGGCTCAGGAGTTAAAAAGCCAGTAGTTAATCAGCTGGTCTTTCCAATCTCAAGTAGTTCCAACCTTTATGTTTGGAGGGGCTCTAACATAATTATTTTGGTTTTGCTCAATTTACACCAGTATTGTAGAAAATGAAACCTGATTAAATGGAGTTGGATGTGAGCATGAAGCAGAGATAAAACCTGCACACCCAACACTCCAAGGCCCGCTGCTATATCTCAGCATTAGTGCAAAGGTTGGCAATGCAAGATCCATGGATGGACTTGTACCTCTTAGGCACTGGCGTGGTCCACCGAGCCCTGCCTTAGTTATTGCTGAAATTCAGTAACACTCTTCGCTAAAGCATTGTCAAGTTATCTGAAAGTCTGAGGCTTAATCTTAGCAAAAAGAAATTGACAAGGGAAAATTATCTACAGTGCAATGTCTGTAAGATTTAAGATTGAATTTCATATAACACTAAACTTCAAAAGCATTCTGGAATTGATCTGTTCACCTTTTATATTGCACTGTTTTATTTTCAAATGCTTCACTTGACAACCAAATAGGTTGAGTGTATTTATTTTTTAAGATATGTATAGAGTTGATTCAGGACGATATCTTCAATAATAAAGAAAAAAAGAGCAGGGTTGGCAAAAGTATGCATGCATTATATTGTCCTGTCTGTTAAGATTCCCTTCTTCTAGACTCTTTGATGGGTCTGGAATATTTTATTTTGCGTTATTTATTAATGCTCTGTTTTTTAAAAATACTTATATATATAGCAATTGTCATCAGTGCCACCCCTGTCTATTTTTCCCTTTTAAGCTGTGCTCATGATGATCACTTTATGGATGCTATGTTCTTTGGGCAGAGAAAGAGCTGAATTATTACTGATAAAAGTAAAAGAAAAAGCAAGACAGGGAGAGATTTTTGCCACTCAACAGCAATTCATATTTCAGTTTGGATCAGTGCTCTGATAAATTAGGTTAAGAAAATACAACCGCATATATTTATTTCACATCGTTAGAATGTCACTGATTTTAAAGAATCCACCTACACTTTTATAGCATTCCTTGGCATATAACATGGACTTTTTATGGGAAATCATTTTTACAGGCTATTAATATAACAGAGTATTTTGCATAATATGTTAGCTATACAGTAAGAATATACTTTTTAAGATCTTCAAAGATCTTCTATAGGTATACAACATCAGAGAAGCAAAAATCTGTCAAAGACAAAAAAACACTGCAGAGGTGAATATGGATTCAAGAATCAAGGATATTTTTTCATAGGATCATTATTCTATTTCTTATTTAACACTGCTTGGGAAATGTTATGCTATAATATATTTGAGTTGGCATGAAGCCACATTAACCTATTCTGTTGCCTTTTTATCTTCCCTTTTGGCAGATAGTGACTACAGCAGTGTTTCTCAACCTTAGCAGCTCTAAGACATGTGGATTTCGACTCCCAGAATTCCCATGGCTGGCTGGGGAATTCTGGCAGTTGAAGTCCACATATCTTAGAATTGCTAAGATTGAGAAACACTGGACTAGAGTCTTTTTGGTGGTATGGTATGCCTATGTGGTGGTATTTTCTTCCAAGCTAGGTTTACTAGATGTCTTCATTGTTATCTTCTTCTTGTCAGGAGACATCTGTTTTGTTCTTGAATGGTTTTAATAGTTTTAATTATCCTTAGCATTGAGTATGCTGCTAAAACACAATTTTTTTTATTTATGTTTTTTATCTGAATTGATCTGCTTTACCTTTGAACCAGAATTATTTCAATATCAATTACTTGTATAGGATATATTTGAAAAGCCAAATAAATGCTTCAGCTACACAAGTTATTATATTCTAGGGATCGCGTGATTGGCTTGATGATGACAGCTTGTGACTTATGTTCTGTGACAAAATTATGGCATGTTACCAGGCTGACAGCCAGTGATATATACGCAGAGTTTTGGGCTGAGGTATGTGCATTTCATGATTGATTTATTTGCGTATCTATCAGTAGACATTTGAAAAGAGACTAAGCTTTTGGAAACTATTAATTAGAGTAGACAATGTTATTTGTTTGCTTCTTTGTTTATAATTTAGAGGTCACCTGACTCCAAACAACTCTGGGCAGCTTACACTTTAAAAGCAGAAATAATAAAAAAAAATTAAGAAACAGTTCATAAACACCGAGAAGAGTGTCTACATAACAACCTTATATTTGCATTCAATTATCCTCTTCCCTCCATTATATATTTAATATGTTTAATTTTGATTATTGGGAGCTAACTGATTAAGAATAATAAATGAAGGTTATTCTCAAGAAGTTTTATTTTTCTTTCAGGGCGATGAAATGAAGAAGTTAGGTATTCAGCCTATACCTATGATGGACAGAGATAAGAAAGATGAAGTTCCTCAAGGCCAGGTAGGTCTAAAATATTCTAAATTTTGGAAGCATTATTAAAATTAAATTAAATTAAATTAAAATTAATAAACTCTTCATAATTCTCAAAAGAATGAACATTTTTATTCTTGATGTTCATGAACACATCAAATGAACATTTGAAGTGTTGATGTGTTGATTTGGTGATACTATTGGACAATTAAATGGTCCAAATTACATATCCTTAGAAATAGAAAAAATATGTACAGTGGTACCTCAGGTCACAAACGCTTCTGTTCACGACCAATTCGGGTCATGAACAGCTCCGTTCGCAAAATTTTGCCTCCG